CTGTCCATAAATCAGTGACTGAAAGACGATGATCCAAAACTTTAGGCAAAATCGTAGCTATTTTTGACACAAGAAACCTTGTTGACCTCAGCTCCACCCTCACTCACATCTGTTGATGATTCTACAAAAGTATGATGTAACCCAAATGAAAATCAAATGAAAGTCATTTTACTTTCTTTCCTTAATTTGAAAATCTAATTCTAAATCTTTGTCGTCTTTTTCACTCAAATATGTTGCCTTGAAAGTAAGGTAATATAAATACATACATAAATTAATAAATTACAAATGAAACTTAGAATAAACCGGCCTTTGTTTTATATAACTTTGACAACCTACAAATTGGATCACAAAAAGGAAAAAAAGGAGCTTCTTCGAATATGTACTCAATAAGCAGGCATTTAAACTTTCAATTTAAACTTCATTCATTCATTTTCCGACCCGCTTATCCTCACAAAGGTCGCGGGGGGTGCTGGAGCCTATCCCAGCTGTCTACGGGCAGTAGGAGGGGGACACCCTGAAACGGTTGCCAGCCAATCGCAAGGCACACACAGACGAACAACCATCCACGCTCACACTCACACTTAGGGACAATTTGGAGTGTTCAATCAGCCTGCCATGCATGTTTTTGGAATGTGGGAGGAAACCGGAGTCCCCGGAGAAAACCCACGCAGGCCCGGGGAGAACATGCAAACTCCACATTGGGAGGCCGGAGCTGGAATCGATCCCGGTACCTCTGCACTGTGAGGTCGACGTGCTAACCACTGGATCACCGGGCCACCAATTTAAACTTCAAATGTATTTTAGTTCTTCTTTTTATTTATTTATTTATTTTATAACCAGTTGTCTGCTGCAGCCTTTTAGTTCTTTCAACTGTTTTCCGACAGTGAGCCACCCATATTCACTTGACACACATATTAAATAGGTTTCTGGGATTTAAGCTTGCTGTGCCTTGATAGTTGCGGAACCAACCGGCCACGTATGTATTGTCTTTTACAACAATACGTAAAACAGTATTTATAATTCCGCATGTGGAATTAAATAGATATGCGCACGTACAGTCTCCATTTTGAAAATGCGCGGAGTGGGTCGCACCGTGCTTCAGTGAATTGGGACAATCGAGAAAGACGACTCAAAATGTGCAGACACGCTGCTTTATAAAAAGCAAATACTGGAGTGCTAGTTAAGTCAGATCGCTGTACGCATGGCAAAGTCCACATGTAGACTAAGATTTGCATTTACGGGAATGATTTAACCTGACACATCACAGAGGGTTGGAGCATTTTTCGTGGTATAGTGTCATTTTTGATTCCTAAATTTCACGACACGGTAAGGGTGCCGGTACTTGGTGCAACACTAATGCCAGTCCATCAAAATATGTATTCATATGAAAACAGCCAGTGGCGCGTTAAATTTTGGAAACCGCTTCCCTTATATGATTTTTTTAGTTGTTGTGTTTATGTTTTGCATTGTTGGAATGTCACTGATGAGTAAATCTTTTCTCCATTCATCCAGCCATTCACGGAACCGCTTATGCTCACTAGGGTCGCGACAAATAGATATTGTCTATTTGTGAATATTGTTCGTGTTTTTTTTTTTTTTTTTAATTATGACTATATTATCTCATGTTGACAGAAAGTGTTTTTTAAACCATAATTTTTTTTCTAGTATTGCTGCAGGGATTTTTAAAGCTTTGAAAAAAAATGTATCAAGTGTAATTTCGTAACTTCCTTAATTTACCAAATAAATGGTCATTCGCTAGAATATATTGAATATGGCACTTTTTAAAAGATGTTCCCGTCCATAGCCAGAAGTAGTCATTCATGTGGTGGAGATCTCATTCCCTGCAAGCTGTCGTATCTGTGGTGCTGTGGTACTTAGTTGAGCTGGAAAGCATTCTGTCACGTCATTTTTTTCCACTTACAGACCTACTGTTAGTCGTTCCTGTGCAGTCTGTGCTCTTATAATTTGTAGGTATGTGAATCTTGTATGCAAGATGCTGTGACTCTTTCCCCTTTTGATTGACTGTCGACGTGTTCCCCGTCTTTCACCCAAAGTCAGCAAGACATGTGACCCTGAACATTACAAGAGGTAGAAAAGGGATTGTCGGCTGGCTTCCTCTGTTCCATTTTCTCTCCACCTACGAGGGTTTCTTAGCATCTTTTGGTGCATAGTTTTGCAGTGCTACATTGCATAGCACAAGATTGAGGGCCCTTCACCCCTTTTTTTACATGTCATCCCGCAAATGGCTTTTCCATCTGTGCTCATTTTTCCCAAAACAAAACACAGGAAAGGCCTCTCTCCCAGGAGAGTGCCAGAGCAAAACAAGACACACATGTTTGCAATCTTTTTTTTTTTGGTAGCTGAATGTCTCACATTTTCGGGTTGAGAGACCACGTGAGAAGTGTCTGATTTCCAGACTGGAAAGGAATTAAGAGAAATTGAATAGAGCAGTTCACACTGTGCAGCCAAAGAATAGGCACTAACTTCAAGTCAAAGTTGACTTGTTTTTGTCTTTTCCTCCTTGACTTTAAATTCCCTCCCATGTAGACAATGGGCCACATTCTCCCATAGTGCACACACAGAAATCTGTGATTCATCAATATGTTGGTACTTTAAAAGGTGCACACTCAGCCAACAAATCGAGAACCTCCTCAGACCACATCACAAATGCTCAGCTTTTGAAAAAAAATCTATCTCACACCTCCTGATGCACAATGGCGTTTATAAAAGCAGTAATAATTATAATAATAATTTTAACGATAATAACTTCCCTGTGCCATTCAAATGCATGTGCATGTGTAGTGCATGTGTGTATTCATCACTCAATGATTGGGCAGCCAGAGGAGCCTTCGAAGCACTCACGTTTCTTGGTCAATTCAAGGCTTCTATGTTTTCTTTTTAATAGCTCAAACATTTCCCAATATTTACATTTGTAAAATGACCATTCAAAAAATCTACGGCACACGCTCTGCTGCTGGCTTGCTTCTGACGTGACTCGGGCCGCCATGGCTCAAACAGTTTATGTACTGTTACTTCCAATGTTAGTTTCATGATGTGAACTACCAGGGGTTTCAGTCTCACTTTTTTTGGACTCGAAATGCTTCTTTGCTGTCCTACTATATTTATTCATTTGCTATCCAAGGGCAACACATTTTTGCAATTTTATTGAATAAGAGATGCGAGTACACCTCTCTAGATGAGTTTCTTATGATTAAGTAATTAATTAGTAACATATTAAAGAATTAATTAAATTTAGGATTGAGTTCAGCTTCAGGTGGATTTTTTTGGGGCTGAAACGTCTGATGTTTAAATTACAATGTATGGTAAAATCAGTAATGCACAAGTTTTTATCAGTAAAAAAAAAAATAAAATAAATAAATAAATAATAATAATAATATAACAAAATACATTTTATATATATATATATACATATATATATATATATATATATATATATAAAAAACTACTTCTGCTTGACAAAAAGTTAACACATTTTTTAAAATTGGTGTTAAAATCGGTGTCAAAAAGCTCTTATGCAAATTGAAGCGCAGCAAACATGAGCGATCGTTTCAAATTAATTCGGATTGTTCAGTATATGCACAGTAGTGCGAAGAAAATTGGCCGGTCCGCACAATTTATGATTCCAACGGTGAACGGTTTGCCTATACGCCCAACTTGTGCGCAGAGTATGAACATTTCTTTGCTGAATGAGGCCCAATGTGAGGGTTGGCAGTGATGTTTTTCCCCGCTTGTGTTTTGTCATCTTTACTTGAATTTTAAGCATCCATTGTGTCCCGGCTCACAAAAATGTCTGCGAGTGACTTATGTATTGTGTGTTTGGTAAACAAAGACACAAGGCCACACTCACCACATGCTATATTTATTCTACTTCATGTCATATGACTTTGCAGAGCTCTGGATTCTCTGCTCTTCTTTGGCAGGACAGATAGACCTGGGATTTGTAGTTCTCAAATTTTTGTTATTTTCTTGGACTTGGACTTATTTAGTATGTTCATTTGGTTTCTACTTTAAAGATTGAGGGACAAAATGTATTTGATGGTCAAGTCTAATGATTTCTTTTATATACAGATGGTGTAGTGGTTCACTTGCATGACTTCGTTGTAGGCAGGCAGCGTGGGTACAGTTGCCACCGAGTGATGCTGTGAATGTGCATGGTTGTCTGACTCTCTCTGCCCTGGGATTGATCGACTACCATTCCATGCTGTAGTCTCTGTAAATTGTTGGGTAAATAGTGTTACATTCAGCATCACGGCAAACAGAATTTCATGGTTTAACTGTTTTGTTTTCCTTTAAAGGTTGCATGATGGAAGATTAACGGCAAATTAGACCTGCAAAAAAATAAAATAATAATAATGTGTTGAGTCCATCATTTTGTTAAGAATTTGAATGTGTTGACACCCACTCAGTGTTTGTCATGCCTTTAATTAAAAACAGGGCATGTCCATTTTCAATCATTTGGAAAGGACCTTTGGCATCTTAATTTCAACTAATGCCATTTGTTGGAATTCCGGCCACCGTGGAGAATCTTTTGTTTATGAGCGAACAGAGTTGCAGTGCATCCCGTTATACTGCCACTTTAAGTACAGTCCAAAGGTGTTTTACTTCAAATATGTTTGATCCCACCAAGCTGGTCGGTCTCGGGAAATGGGGTGTTTTATTGTTTATTATGTAACGCAGAAGGCGAGGTGAGATAGATCCATGCATCCATTTTCGATACTGCTTGTCCTCATTTGGATCGCGGTTCAGTTAGAGCCGAGCTCAGCTGATTTTGGGTGACACCCCCTGACTCCCTGTGAACATTCAACTCCACACAGAAAGGCCGGAACTGAAATTCAAATTCCTAACCTCAGAACAGCAAGGCAGATTTTCCAACCAATATTCCATTCCATGCTCTCTGGCTGTTATGTGGAAATAAGCATACTTTTAATGTATTGGTGTGCCTTCCTTTAAGTGTGTTTCATATTCATATTCCTTTACAGAACCTCGATATTCAAGTTGAGGATGTGCGCATTCGAGCCATCTTGTCATCGTTACGCAAGCGGATCCCCGTGACAGAGGGCTACGTGGAGGTAAAAGATGGCGGTAAATGGAAGCAGATCTGCAACACCGACTGGAGCCACTTTAACAGCAGAGTCATCTGTGGCATGTTTGGCTTCCCTGGGGAGAGAAAATACAACGCCAGAGTCTACAAGTGAGTATTAACATTGGGTAAGGTTGGATTCTGTCTCGTGCCGGTGTGAGAACTGGATCACTGCTTGTCATTTCGAGAAGAATTCATGGTTTTGAAATGCTAGTCGTCTTGTCATTCTCGAAGAATAATAGGACCACCACACATCTACCGTTAGTGCGACATACAGTAGTATCTGCCCAAGTTTTTCTTCAGTTGACAATGACCGTCTCTGCAGGCCATTGCTTGTGATGAGATTTGATGACAAAAATGTCGGGAAAAGCCTACAAGAACAGCCAAACTTCAGTTGGGGTTAATCAAAGTCACGTTAAATGGTGTCAGGTGTGTGCTGTCTCCCATGAGTTTGAACGCAACGTTCTCTCTCGCTTTTTTTTTTTTTTACTTCCTGTCTCAAACACATTTCAATTTGGTTTTCAATTGAGTTGCACAGATTCAGTCACATCAATGGTGGAACAAGTGTTGAAATCTTGATTCCATTTTTATATTTGAAATTTCTTATAGATAAATAACCATTCACACTCATATTCACACCTATGGGCAATTAAGAGTTAAATTAAACTATCCGTCTTTTTTTTTTTTTCGCCTGTCCCTCATTAACAGCAATTCACACTGTCTGGCATATATGTTATGCATCACACTAGAGGCTGGTGCTGATATCATCCATCCATCCATTTTCTAGTCCGCTTACCCTCATGATGGTCGCTGCCGTGCTGGAGCCCCTCCCAGCTGTCTTCGGGCAGAAGGTGGGGTACACCCTGAACTGGTTCCCAACCAATCGCGGGGCACACATGGACAGAACAATCATTTGTGTTCACAAACACACCTCGGGACAATTTAGAGCACAGGTGTCAAACTCAAGGAGGCCCACGTCATTTTATGTGGCCCGCGAAAGCAAATCATGTGTGTCAACTTCCATGAGCTTCGCTAAAATCTGTACCGAAATGTCAAATTGCCATATGTAATAAATGACGTTGAGATTTTGCGAAGATATTGTTCCTCTGTTTACGCTCACTTGAACAATAATTGAAAAAACAACAAATAAATAGTTGACTGATTTCAAAAAGTCATCCAATTTTTTTTTTTGGCGTACAAAGCAAGAATGATTTAAAATTTATTTGGTTTCACTGTAGTAATGGCCGTCCAAGGGAAAACGTTAACTCCAAAGTGGCCTGCGACAAAAATGAGTTTGACACCTCTGCCATGCATGTTTTTGGACTGTGGGAAGAAACCGGAGTGCCCGGAGAAAACCCACACAGGCACAGGGAGAACATGCACACTCCACTCAGGAAGGCCAGAACCAGAATCGAACCTTGCACCTCTGCACTGTGAGGCGGACGTGCTGAAGTCGATCACCGTGCCGCCGAGTGCTGACATCATCCGGCATCTCATTATCTGAATGTGGAATACTGTGTCACAGTAGTATCCCACTTTGTTGGTTTCTCTTTGAAAGGCACTGGCTGATAAAATGCCGGACCGATCGGATTTGTGCGTGCGCGAAACAGGCAATGAGCATGCAGCATGCTCTTTGTTCCTCTTAGCATCAGGATTTTAGCCTTTGCGCGAATCTTAGTCTACTCGTGTATTTTGTTACGTTCAAGGTTTTGATTTGAAATGTGAATTGATGTAGATGTCTGCTCGTAGATGCATGTGTGTTCCATTATACATTTGCATGCCATCGAACTGGCTGTACTCGAGCTTTTGTTCGGTCAACTGTCATGTATGATTATACTGCAAACCATTCCATTTCATTCTTCTGACAATCGATAGATGCACTTTCGTATACTATCCATATCAACACATAGAAGATACTGTTGTGGTGAACCTTTTCACTGGGAGCTTAGTTTCATTAAATCGCATTTTCTGTCATTACTTTCAAAGCTCAAATATGACCTGAGCTTCATAACTTTGTGAAATCGGGCCTGGACCCTGGAGGTCGACTCGATAGGGCTCCATCACTTGAGCTGTCACCTGGTCAGCTGGCTTTTATTTTCTTTGCTTGCTAGCAAAATTACGTAGTTGTGACGTAATATTTCCTTCCAAAATGTAAAACCTACCAAAGTTAGCTCATGGGCATCGTTCTATAAACAACAATTTAACTGATTCCTGATGTTCAGGGTGTTGCTTACATGAGCCAAACATCATCCGATTAATTGTAGTTGACCATAAAATAGTGCGCTATTGCATATAACGCTAAATTTAGTGTGCAAAGCCTGTAATTTTCCTTTACTGCAGCAGAGCATAGCGACTCCTTAACTTTCCATCTACGTGTCAGTCTGCTCCCGCTATGACTCCTTGTGAAACGTGCAGTGTGTTCTTTAAGGCTGCCATGAAAGGGGCCAAACTGGCTGCTCTCTAATAATCTGAATTTTCACTTTGCTCTGAGACATCTGCACGATGATGGTTTTATCAAGAGTTCATTTAGAGTCGCCATTCGGTTTGAACGACTTAAAAATACATTCAAAATGGGGATTATGTAATTGTACACACAGATGGAGACTTGGAAAAAATATCTGAGAACTGTATCAAAGGAGGCATGCATATATACCTGTACATATATACTGTATATACTGTATGTGTATATATACACGTATATATATATATATGTATATATATA